AAATGAAAGAGTCGTCTTGGCCTCTTGGCTATTGTATGTCGAAAGCTGAACACCCTTAATTAAAAGCATGCGACGTGCAGTGCCCCGTTAATAGTTCCATCAGCAGCCTAGACCCCTCGGTTCGTTGATTTATAGTAAAAACTTTGTAATCTTTAGCATCAAAGTTTATTCGCCTGACGACTTAGTATTACTGCTTTCTTTTGTTTCACTATCCGAACTGGAGCAAGGTCGCCAGCTATCTCATTTTCTTCAATGCCAATGTGACTTGGTACCCAGTAGTTGGAAACTCCTCTGTATACAGACAGTACTTGAATCGCCTCTTTACATAGTGCGACCACAGCTGACTTCATGCTGTATGAAATTAAAGCCGTTAGGGCTGTTTGGTTGTCCACATATATGTATACTCGTTTCCCTTGATAGCCAGCACACTGCAGTAGCTCTGCAGCCATTTTTATAGCAAATATTTCGGATAGGAAGATAATGAAATGGTTTCGTAGGTAGCCATTCGCTCTACTCTACTGTAGCTGACAACGGCGGTCCAAAAGTCTGGTGCGGAATTACGTAGTCTACTTGTACCTTAAGGGGTAGCGCTTTACTAATGCATGCTTGGAAGCTTATAACCTCGCATTAGGCAACCTATAGCCTTCCACCACGTTATAGCTCTGTAGGTAGCAGGTGAAGAGAGAAATTAAAGAATCGTTAAATGACTCTTCTTATTCTTTGGCTTAGGCATCGCTTACTCGATTATAGCATAGTCAAAAAAGCGTACCATTCGAACCTTCTCTTCCTTAATTGGCAACAGTTGGAAATACCAAATGAAGCCAGGTGTCTCCATCCGATCCTGCCAACGGTATAGTGGACTTAGCTTTGCTATTATTCCGCAGGTGGGTACTGTATTGAATTCTTTCAAAACTGTAGCGCTTTCATTCATTCGGCCCTCATGACCTAACCATCGTAGCCGCTGTCTCTTTATTCGCAGAATTAAGTCAATACCAGCGTATAACTTTACAGTTAATCCATTGAAGACTCCCAAGTCTAATCAGTTGTCGACATCGTCCATGCTTCAGCAACATATAACAGGAAGGGATTGATGAGGGATTTGGAGAGTCGGGAATTTTGGTATAGATTCTAAAAAAAATATGTAAATTTTCATTGTAGTAAATCCGAACACAATTAGAACCTGACCAATTTCTTAAGAGGATCCCAAAGGAGAAAATTTAAGGAACGATTTGCCGCTTAAAAATTGATGGTCTTTGCAGAATTTTATTCTACTAAAACCAACCCGGGCTGTCGGCTCAAAAGCAAGTCCATAAGCAAAAGAAAAAGCGGATTATTTCAAGTGCATTTTTGAAATCCAAAGCTGCAACTTTTTCTCTAGTTCCTTTCAATAAGTACATACATATGAGTTTATATCTATGAGCGTGAGTGTTAGACAAATTGTGTTGTTTTCCCTGCCTGCCGACCTCCATCGGTGCAAACTGGCCAATGACAGCGGCGCAGTGCTTTATCGGCTCATCGATTCCACAATTAATACATAATTAAATGTTTATTGGTATGGCAATGATCGGTGCACACGTGTCTATAATTTTCAATAGACAGACACCTTTGCAGGTATATGAAAATGTAACATTTGAACATGCTTTACACTGCACTGATGAAATGCTCCAATATACTCGTACCAACAGCCAACATGCCAACAACAATTTCTTCTTTTCAGTCTTCAGCTCAGCTATATTATAGCAGTATTGACCATATTTAAATAGGCGTGTGAGTTGCACATGTGAATACCACAACCACTCGTGGCTTTTCACAGAGAGAGGATATTTGATGGCCGGGAACTCAAACTCAAATTTGCGGAACGCAAGGGGCAAAATATTCGTGTTTAGGTTTGCAAAACGATTTCTGTTCAAGCAAATATCCAGTTGTGTGCATATATCTACTTGACAGCATATTTATATGTGTCTATTATTATTGCCCTTCGGATAACTGATAAACGTGTAAACGCTTTTTAAGCTAATGTAATTTGTGCATAAGTTAAAGGTAAATTGTTTATGTATTCAAGCTATTGTGAATACAAGTGAATGTTTGATTTAGTTGAGGATACAAACTTTTACTAAACAAATTCTGAGCTAATGACTTATACACAAAGTTCATTGAACCAGTCTGGTTAAATGACACTTCCTAAGTCAAGTGTAAGTGTTCCAAGTCTGAATGGTTGAGCCACAAGGGCCCTACATGTAGTACGCGTGAATGTCATTTGCATGTGAAAATGTACATGTTAGTGGAATTATACTTTATACATAATATTCAATTATATGTATATAACTACCCATATGAGGGGATTAACAAAAGTTCGGTAAGTTGACCAGAAAAAAATCTTTTTATATTTGTTCGTAATTCTTATCCTTTTTTATCTTCTCTACATTGATTTCAATGTATTACATAAACCTATAGATCCACTTCTGAAAACAGTCTTTAAAATCTTGCTTTTTAAGGCTATCAAGTTCAGCTTTAACCACATTATTTATCTCCTCGTTGCTTTAAAGACCTTACCTTTTAAATTCTTTTTTAACCTTTGGAAATACCCAACACTCATAAGGTGCCATACCGGGGAAATATAATACTGGACGTTTTTCATCAAACCCAGAGATCGCAATGATATTACTCGTTATGATGCGAAAAGTAGCACCGAACAATTTTTTTAAAACTTTCGATAAGAACTCTTAGATGTACCATTTTACAGTTGCCGTCTGACCCTATTCCAGTGGAATAGCAGTTTCGATATTAGATAGGGTGAAGTAAACTAACACCATTACGTTTGCTGCTGATTTTTGTTGCTAAGATTTTACGGGCGGGTTTGGCCCCTGTTGGGCTACATACCATGGGCTGCTGTTTGGTTCCTGGATCGTACTTTTAGAACCAAGACTCTTCATCAGCAACGACTTTAATAAAGTTATTAGACTGACCCTTTTCGAATTGGTTTAGCAATGATTGAGTGAATTGCACTCGAGCCTCTTTTTGAGCCTCATTTAAAATTCGTGATACCCATCGAGCAGGTTTCTTCATGTACCCAGATTATTACTTAATATTCGCGATACAGCCAAGGCATTCCAACCCAATTCATAAGCGATCGTTTTTTGTGTCAGTCCTGGGTCATCCGTGGAAGATTTTGGTCGATCTTGTATCTTCGGAATCACTTAAAAATATTCTTTAAAGATGGTGCAATCGTTCCATATGCAATTTGGCTTTCACTGAATATTTGTATTAGCTATAAATTACGCCGAAACCCGAAGATAATCACATGGTGAATTTCTGTTTACGTTGGTGGTGGAATTTCGTCTGATTTGTCCTAAGCTATCTTTCCCTTTCTCGTCTCCATTTTAGCCAATTTTTTCTAAAATTTGACAGGAAGATTAATAAAGTGATTGCAAAGAATTTGGTGGCCGAACTTTTGTTAATCATTTCGTATATACGAATACACATTGAAACCGAAAAGCATCGATATTGAACTCTTATCCAATGGTGAATGATACGATATCTCCTCATCTTGGGATAAAGCCGTGTGTCAAATACTCAAAAACCTTTTTTGATTATTATTTTTATTTGTTTTTATATTGTCGTCTTAATATTCGTCGATTAACTAACGATTTTCCGAGTAGTTAACGACAGGGCATAACGAGTATCAGTTACAGATCCGAGTGTAAGCCGTCCGCATTGTCTATGGTCAGAAAAAAGTATTCGCAATCCGACATGCGATGATATTTAACTCCAATACCAATAAAATCCCTAATATTTTCATGATTAGGGTAAATTGGTATCTGAACACCATCGTAATAAAAAAAATTGGTGTCATGCAACCGCGTTAGCCGAGTGGAAGGCTCTGGTGCGAATTCCCGTGCGACCAATATCCAAAAGTTATAGAAAATTAATTTAAGTAAAAATTTAAGTGAAATTTTCTAATTGCGGACGCGCCTCGGCAGGGAATGTCAACCCCTTCGAGTGTATTTCGTACATGAAATAAAGCTCCTCATAAAAAACCCATCAGCCGTTCGGAGGCGGTTAAGTATAAACTGTAGGTCCCTCCACTTTGTTGGAAAAAACATCAAGACGCAATCGCTCAAGCGGCTACATAGCGCCACTTATATATATAGATATATATATATATATATATATATGTATTGTATATCAGGGTATCATGGTTTTATTCTGTTATCGATAATCGTTGCTTGTACAATATCTAAAAGATTTTGTGGGGATAATTGCTATCGGCTCTGACTAGAAATAGGATATATTCATATATGTATAATCTAAACTACACTACAAATGTGCCCAAGTAAAATAGTGAAAAGTGATTGGTTTGTTAGTTGTATATATGTGTGAAACTGTAAACGGTCAAAGAAATAAACTCACCGACTAAAGAATTAATGAGAACATTACCCCATACGCAATGATAATGATTCTTGTAGGTTTTGAGTCCCATGAACTGCATTGCGTCAGTACCCATAGTGATTGCATGAAAAACCTCCCAGTACCGCTGTATTAACATCCACTCACATAATAGGCCTCTGACATTGTCATCGCCGGTGTGGTATAATAAGCCAAACCAAACATATGACCTGAATATTGCACATAGACGTACGAACTCGCCATGTACCATTTGAGTTTTTCCATAATTACACAGGAGATGTTTATGCAGGCATTCATGAAAGCGTTTGTATAATGATCATCAAAGCGATGCCGTCACACAGACCATTGCTCATTGCACCGAATTCGGCTATTATAGGATCAATTCCACAACAGTGTAACTGCACCCACATGGAAGCCGCACTGAATTCGCCAAAAAATTTGCACAAAAAATAGTCGATTAATTTTCATTGCCACTAAATAGTCTCAGTAATTTTACGCAAATTCAATTATTACAAAATTCGTGTATATTTTATGACTTTGAGAGTTTGTAATATTTCTTACATATCTATAAATACAAAAAAAAATATTTTAAAGTAAAATAAGAAATGATGACTTATGATAGAATTATACAAATTAATTCATGCTTGGCATAATGATATGGCAAATGGTAAAGGAACTAAAGCGTTGCATGGAAGAGTACTTGTAGACCACTGTTTTCTCGATTTTCAAAATCACTTCTATTTGCAATTAGTTAAGATCCTGCACGTCAGCTCTTCTCATTCAACTCTCTTACGACCATATCACGCTTGAAAATCACTTTGTAAAATGTGGCACTAACTGCCGCACTGGACATTGGTGCCACCCAGTACACCCAGTGGTCCTGATAATCGTTCGTCCATACGGCTGAAGCGGCAGCTTTAACGGGATTCATCATTGCACCGGTCAATTGACCCTAAGGCATTACAAAAGAAAATGATTTCATAAAATATTGCCTTAAATTAGCTAATGCCATTGAACTTACCACCGAAAGTCCCAAACAAGTAACTGTTAAACCAAAACGTATTGGCAGTGAGTCTTGAAATGGAAGATTTCTTGAATCCGCCGCACTGCAGGTAGTGAAAATCAACATAGCGGTAACGATAAATTCGATCCCAAAAGCTTGCATTGCGGTAATGTCCGGATGAGGCGTAGCAACACAAACACCATGCGCCGCTCCACCCAACGCTATAGCACTGTCCGGTATTAGTGCTTTCATAAGACCATAACCGAGAAAGGCGCCAAGTATTTGTCCCAAAAAATAAACGCCTGCCATTGTAAGCGATATCATATCGTAAATATAAACAGCCAGTGTAATGGCTGGATTCAAGTGGGCGCCACATACGCAACCGAAGCAATGTACAATCATCATGACAACCAAACCGACAGTGAAAGAGGATTGAAAAGGACTGTTCACCAAGCTTTCGTTATATACACAACCCGTGCAGCCTAGGAATACGAGCATACCGGTTCCAATGAATTCTCCGAGGAATTGACAAAACTTATCAAAAGTGCTGACATCTATATTCAGTTTATCTAGGCAGCTGAAAAGAAGTAAAAGTAATGTTTAAATAAATTTTTATTTATTTTATATTTTTATTTTATGGAAATAAATTCGTTAAGTGGTCATATATATGTATGTATGACGATATATATGTATTCATACAAAGATATTGTTCAAGAGCGATTCAATTAATGTTTTATTTACTCCTTACTCTCTTATGTTATCACTTTCAGGCGGAACAAGCGAGACGGTTTCTAAGAAAATATCTAGTGGATATTGAACTTGTAAGCTATTTTCGTTCGTTCAATTACTTTCTAAGCATAACATATCGAAAGTTAAAAAAAATCGATCTCCGCTGAAGTCTCTTGTCTCAAACATTCAAAATTATAGAATATTAATTTTTATAATTACGGTCGATGTCAAGCTCCCGCGTATATTTCTGGCATAACATAAAAGCTCATCATAAAAATCCATCGGCCGTTCGGTGGTGACTAACGCGGCCGCCGGGCATACACTTGAACCTAAACTGAGTCTGTTCGTTTGACAATCTATTGAAATACATTTCCGCTTTCTCAACTGCCGGTTTTAGCACGTGTATATGGCTGTTAAATTTAACAGACGGAGAAAGCACATCTGTTTTGTTTACAAACAGAAAACAGCTGATTTACAAATTTATAAATACTATGGAAAATAGACGATTTCACGAGCTTGAGGAAATGTCTGAAGAATCCATATTTCCGAGAGAAAATTAAGAAAATTTACTTTTTTTTCCGCTTAGGACAGGTGATTTTATCTAATATTAAATAAACATTTGACAGGAGGCCGAGATAAGGAAAACGAATTTATCACATCGTTAAATTTAATTGCCGGTTTCATGATCCCCACATTAACTGGCAGTCGAAAAAACGGCCCTAAATGAGTGGGAATCGAAGACGAATATTTACAATAACTCATAAAGTAAAATTAAAGGCGAATTTACGAAAGTAAAAGCAGGCGAACAAACACAAAAATTATAGTGTGTTTTATTTTATATTTTAGTCTTGGATTTGTCAAAATCATGGCAGACTAAAATGCTTCTAAAAACTCATATGTAATCGATCCAATTTTTTGGTAAAAACCCCACTCAAATCACAGTTTAGAAAACTTTCACTTTTCGAATGAAAATTCAAATAATATGTTAGTGAAAAAAGAAGGGAATTCAATGAAGGAATGGACGTAGTGACTTCACTTTGTTCGATTCACTTTGGTAACATAAAATAAACATTAATTCTTGTTGGTAAAAACTGGAAATTGCAAAAAAATAAAAAATAAATCAAAATGACATTGTTTGTGCGGAAACAAATCGTACCGAGCTTAGAGAAACTAGTAAAACTTAATATACAAATGTCATTCATTAAATATAAGCACATTAAATATAAGCACTTTTTGTTTCTTGAACAAATTATTTACTATTTGATGAGTGCATAAGTTCGTGCCCGATTCCGCTGGATGCCGTTCGAATCGTTTGAGAGTGGCGCTCGTGAAAGAAATATATACATATTATATATCGTAGNTCCGTAAATTGGTTGACCGTTGGGAGTGGATTGCCGAACATGATGGCGAATGCATAATTGATTAAGAGAAGCGCTTTCTTCAAAAAATTTCAATTTTAGTTTGCACTTGAAATCGGGCACGAACTTATGCACTCATCCAATAAAAAGTTTTAAAAATAAGAAATTTTTTCTGCACATGCGGTAGCACTACGCTTGATTAAGGAGTGCAATAACTTTTATTTAATAATATTTTCACAGAAACTTTTACACCGAGGTCCTCTATTCAGAGGCATTTGAAAATTTTTTCTCGTTCGTCTTAATGCTGTGGCACACATTTTAACACCATACTTAAATAAACGTCACAAACTAACCTTTTTGTAAACCGTATTGGTTCTGGAATTCTTTCATATATTGGCTGTTGTAAGGATTCAACGCCCATTTTATTGAATTTTAGTCCTGCGATGTTAAAAAAAAAAACAAGTAAAACGTTTCACGTATACCGCTTGCAATGCCGACGTTTGGTGAAATGAAATTGAAAACTATAAATATACGCAATGCAATGTACTTAAATATTCAAGAGTCCCCGTAATGGAAATAGCTCATCCGACCAAACTATTGCATCAAACAACACTTGTAATCGTGAAAAGTTTGCTTCGGTACTTATAGTGCAAAAATGCCTATATGTAGCTGCTGGTGTTGTCTGTCTGATTGGCTAAATGCTTAAGTGTTTATAGATCAAACGTTTCGACGATTACAAATTTGTTTTCATTTAATCTCCACCCTTATAATGAAGTGTCATTTGTAGGAGAGGAATCCATGCCCGTAGGAACACTGGCATATACAATAGTAATGTGCTGCTCTCACTAGTGTAATACCAATATATAATATATATACATATGTATATAAAGGGTGATTTTTTAGGAGCTATCGGACAGTTCGGATAAAGATTCGAGTGGTTTAACAGGCAAATTTCGACAAGTAGAAATATATGGTTCAGATGTAACTAAAGATCTCTTAAAAACATAATCCACTGTTTTAAATAAGTCTTAAAAAAGTTACTGCCGGCCTCCTGCACATCTTCAGACATCTAATCGATTGGCAAGACTGCATGTTGTATTATATCCTGGCCATGTATTAAAAGTTTATGCCCTTAAGTAGGCATATTATACCAATTGAATAATTTTACAATTTTTTTTAGCTAACCCCAATGCATACTGCCGAAAAATGGTCACATGACCACATGAAACAGCTTGCTACATAATAAAGAACCGGTGGATAATATCTTTGTCAATTTGTGTTATTTCTGCTGATTTTTCATATTTTTCTAAAAAGCAATGAGCAGTGTTTCCGTCGTTTGAAGTTCCGCTTCCACACTACGGATTGTCATAATTCAATCCCAATTCTGATTTAAGCGACGCTTGTATCATTTTTTTCTTACTAATTATTTTTCTTCGCTTTATTTATTTCAAAAATCGTCTTTTTTTCTTGGAATGATTTTTATATTTATTTATCATAAAGCTTTTTATTTTCTAACTTATATAAGCGGATTTTCACGCGTTAACTCAACTAACTATGACCAACCCATTTAAAAAGCTTATTCTTAATATATTTGCTTTGAGAATAATATCTACATATTTACATAAATAATTTGTAGTATATTTTATACGATGTTCGTTAAACTGAGTACTCTCTCAATCAGCGTATGCGTTATTCAAGGTACCTGTTTAGTTTTCCGAAACGATAAGCCAGCAATTAAAATGTATGGCCATAAATTCATATGCTGTATGACATTTATAGGCCAGGCAATAAAAATTAAAGTACAAACAGATGTCCATATACACATACTCATGATATGAATATTGATACTTGATGCCTTTACAACAACATAAGCATCTATGTATACTGATGTTCTTATCATGAATATGTAAAGCAATAAAAATTAAAACATAAGATAAGATTATCTATTCGTGGGTAATCTTCTAATGTAAACATACTTATGTACACATATGCATGCATGTAAATTTTCACATTACAAATTTATATAAATAAACGCTCTACAGATTGTGGAGTCAGTTATACTTAAACCAAG